CGTTTCTGCACTTCAATTTAATGAACGCTTTGTCAAGTTCTTAAGGACTGATATGGTTTGAATATTGTTAAACGTGTTTCTTATGTTTGATGCGGAGGCCTAACAAATTGCCGACCAAAATTTTTTAACCATTTTTCCAGATGTTTACTAATAAAAATAAAATACAAATTCACTCTTTTAAGCCTGCGTTTCTGTTCAGTTGTTCTCTATTTTGAGCAGTACATTCCCAACCTGATAAGCTCATTGGTTTCAGAAGGATTTCTTCCAGTGCTCCGTTCCCCATTCTCGTCATCGTCATAGTCATTTTCGTCCTTTTAATCGTCGCTTGTGCAGAGCAGACATTGAGCCGGCTTAGATGAAGCTGATAGGGAACCCATGACGCCTGAACAGAGGGACGTGAGATGATGGACCACGGAGTACGAAATGCGAAATGCGAAAGGCGAAAGACGGAAGGCGGAGACACTCGACACCGGCTTTGTCCCCCAAAATGCGATGCCGTTTTTGGCCGCTCCAGTGATTAGCCATTCTCCGTTTCCCAGTCATTCTGCAGTGGTTGCATGCCACTCTGTTGCCCGTTGAAAGCCAAAACCGATGGCTTTAAGCAACGCTTTAAGCCGATGAAAACGAAAAAGTGAGTGGATGGGTGGCTGGGTGGTTGGGTGGTTAGGAGCAGGCCGCGCAGCCGGCTGCTGCTGAATGTGATTTATGAACTCTGCCCCAAAAGAAAAGTTTAATTGCCAGCCGTGAAAAGCAGCATAAGCAGTTGAAAAGAAAGCCGGAAATAAGTAGAACCACTCTGCGTAAGGTAGAAAGTTTAATGCTCTACAAAGAACAACTTGAGAACGGTAAACAACATTTTCAAGCTATGCCTTCAAGATTTGAATATATTATTTGACAAATAAAGCAAAAAGTAAGGATTATGTCACAATAAATGAATATCGTAGTTCGAAAAAGGAAACGAAACGGTCACATTCAATTTAGGGAATCAGCCCTGTGAATTTATTTAATGTCCAACTTGAACACAATCGCGTTAGACTCCTTCCCAGCGGCCCTGAACCAACTCAAACACAGACATTTGAATATTTAAGTCGCTATAGAACCCAACCGATGCTGTGGCTCAAGGCAGCGCGTGAAAGGCTTAAAAAGTTCAAATTCCAACTGACAGCGGAGGGACCGAAAAAAGCCCATCGCCAAACCCGCTTAAAAAATTGTATATACAAGTATGCGCGCAAGGCAGTAAATATCGTTTGTGGCTTTGGACAAATAGAAAAAAGGTCCGCTTAATTTGTACAAATTACCATAAAAATGAAATGAAAGCAGCGACAGTAAAAGAAGGATGGCAAAAAGAAAATGAGCAGCAGCTAAGCTGTGGCATTTGTTTTTTGCGTTTGACTTTGATTTATGTGCAGGTCGCTTAAATGGATTTAAAAAAAAAATAGATTGCATCCACTACTTTTGGTATAAGTAAATATTTTAAATTCAATAAAAACATAGCAGTTACTTAACTTACTTGTATGATTATCTCACCTGAAAAAGCATTCCCGAGCATTTGCAGCCGTAGGCAATGCGATGTAGAATAGTTACAGCCGCTCTCAAGGATCGAGTGGGTATATCCGCCCAATCCGATAGCACTAGTGTGCAAGCCCGAACGATTTTCGGATTCAGCAATCTAGAGGGGATTGGAGAAAGGAGAAAGGAGAGACTCAGGCCATTATAAACCAAACGCAAATCAAATTATGCTAAATTTAACTAATTATGATTTAAGAGTTTATCCAGGCGGTCACCCCCAAAACAGCATCGACCACGGCAACCGCAAATGTTCCACACTCGGCGCCAAAGTTTTAGAAACATTTGCAGCAACAATGGCACTGGCAGCACAATTAAAATTCAACGGGCCAACCAACTTGACGTCATTTTATTATAATTGTTGTGGCAGGGTGAGCTGATGTTGCTGATGTAGCTGCTCTGCGGAGGATGTTGCTCCTGTGATGTTGCTGCCGTTCTAAGCTGCCCGCGGCATCTGTGTGCGCCGGTTTCCAGTTCGAGTTCGAGTTCGCGGCCATAAAACTTTTGGCACAAGTAATTTCTGACACTAATCCTTAATTAGTAGCCACGAGCACTGACTCTCTGGTCTGCCTTTCAATTAAAAATACAATTACAATTTTCAACACGACCATCACGGCGCAAAAACCGCCGTTCAACCGAGCGGGCGACCATGATAACTTTTCAAATAACAGCAGTAAAATTTAAGCGACTCCCCTTCCAGCCCCCTCCATGGCTTGTACTTCCCCAAATGGAAAAGTGTCCAGGAGCGGTTTGGCCTTGATTCGAAAACTTTATGGGCCGGGGCGATACTTAGTCTAGTCCTAGGCCTATTTACCTGCGAGCGAAATCATCAAATTTGAACGTTTTCTCGGTGAGTCCATTATCTAGCCGGTGGATGAGAGCAGGGAAACGGGGTGGAAAAACAAGCAAATGCCATTTATTAGTTGAAATTTCCTCAAATTATTTTCATATTTATCGCAGATTTATGCGATGAGTGCTGCCCTTTCTTACCCTGCTCTCCGTATTCTTCGTTATCCAAGTCATCGTCTTCGACCTCGTCCTCGTCCTGCTTCTGCTCCTTTTCGTTTTCCTTATCCTCGGACTCAACTGAAAATTGAAAATATTTTTTAAGTATGAGGTCTAATCAGAATGCCAGAAATGGTGATTGAATTTCGCTGAAAATACCTAATTTTGGACAGAGATATTTCAGGAATGACTTAGCATTAATGTTGAGGATTCAATCAATCCAGATATTTTGAATTTATTTTGTGTTGAAGGAAAAGATCTCTTAACACGAATAGGATTCGGGTGAATCTCACCCATTCATTTTAAGCAACTATTTTACAATAAAACGCCATTTGTTTTAATTTGAAGCATACTTGCACCCGTTGCGACTTAATCAATTATGCACTAGTTGCTATAGAGACAGATGAGGACACTCCGGTTAGGCGCACCCATTCTCCATGGCAAAACACAAATGGCCATTAACAATAATTATGACTGCTGCAATACATAAACAAGTGTACTTGTGTTCCAACATCCAGGCTCAAACGCACATAGGGATACAGGAGTGCACAAAGCGAGGGTCCTGATAAAATGCAAAGCTAGTCAAAAGCACACTTCACAGGATCCCTGCTCGAAAACAGTGGAATTCGCATGGAATACGTATGCAGGGACATTCTACCCAGGGCTTTCGCTGGAGGCTACTAATGTTGCACCTGCTCCTGGCGAAATGCCCCCAAACATTGTCAACCATCCCCCGAAAAGCCGAATTTCAGGCAGTTACAACTTCATTTTGGAAGTGCAGGTCCAGGACCTCCTCCTCGCACCTTTTGCACCTTACACCCATGGATTGGGCTGCGTGTGCGGCGCTTTATTAACGTCTTGAATGGGGTCTCCACTGGCATTTCAGTCCGTGTCCCTGTTCCTGTTCCTGCTTCTGCCCTTGTGCCCTGTCTTTGGCAGTGACGCTATGCTCCGTCATTAAAATACAATTTTCTGTGTCAGGTTCAAGCTGTAAGCCCAACAACATGACACACGAAGGGGCAAGGTGCGTGGTCGGGGAGAAATGCAACACGGACAGCACACGATATTAGTGCATGTCTTTTGGGCTGCCTTTGTAGCTGCAATTGTTGGCCCGACACCCGGCAGGACTGTGGATATAGTCATACGGCCCCATAGCCATCCTGCTCCCCGGCACAACAACACATTACTCCATCCGAAAGAGTGCGACTGCACGGCCATTAAACATGAACCTCGTTACGGCGTTGTTGATGTTCTTGCTATAAGCGGCAACTTCAGGGTAGTCAGGCTCTGGCCCGAACTTCAGGACTCGATGTCTGGAAGTCATGATGGCACTTTGAAACTCACGAAGGCCAAGTTGCTTGGCTTACACGGAATTATTCGGCACTAAGCACGAGTTGTACTTAAATAAAAAGAAATATGTTAAATTTTAACATTCAATAGTATTTTTCTAGGTAGAAGATAGCATTTTGTTTAAGCACATTTTATTAACCTTAAGTTTAGGCCTCCTTAAGTATTTGTATTAACTTGGCTACACAAGTAAGAACGGTATTGTAAAAAAAACGTGTATAGTACATTAGATTAGATGGGATCATATTTCAAGATATAAATGTGTTACTTTTTAAAAAAAAATTTTAATTTAATTTAATTAAAAATATTTTACCTAAGGGGCACTTTGTTCTATTTTAAAATGAGCTAGTTGTGCACAGAGTAACCAACCAGTCTAGTTAATTAAGCCTATGCTTGTTCAGTTGTCGGGGTGCATCACACTTTGCAGGCCAGACTTAATGACTTTTGCGCGTCGCATGCACCTGGACAGCACCTGAACGCATTTTTGCCACGACCTCGGTTCGGACCACCCACTCCACCTTATCATTACATGACCTTCAGTGCTGGATATTCCACACAACCTGGTAGCAGCATGCATAGTGAGAACGTGCCTGGTGTTTGAGCTGTGGTCAGCAGTAGAAAATGTCCTGCCATGTCCATCCAAGGACCCAGTGCCCATACTCGTACCCATGGCCATACCCACATACCACATATCCCTGGACTTTTGGGTAGCAATTAATTTGAAGTTTAACACGTGTGCGTGTGTCTTTGTGATTATTACATAATGGCAAAGACAATGTCAGCAGCAGCCTCTGCCAATCAAATGCCGGCTGGAACGAGTGTGTGGATTTTGGTGGCTCAGGTTGTGCAAGAAACAGAGCCGCATTTCAAGGACTCGCAAATGCTAACAGGTGATGACAAACACACACACTTCTCTGCTGAAAGGGACATAAACAAAATAATAACAAAACGCAGTCAGCAGCTTGAAGAGCAAACCAGCCTGGTGCTCACCGAATAGAAAAGAGAAACCGCGCAGGCGCCCACCGACCATTTCGAATTTCGAACTCCGGAGGATGGCTTAAAAGCATGTCCTGGCCGAGTGAGCAGCTCAGTCTAGTGCTAAATACATCGAGGCCAGGACACGCGATCCGAGAAAGCGTCGATTCAACCAAACAAAAACCAAGTGCCAAGTGCCGTGTGAAGAGGCCACAAACAACTAACTAACTAACTGCCTCCAGAAACTGTGCGATTCAAACTAAGCCAACAATAAATATAAAAAAGTTACCAGGTAGCAGCAGATAGAGCTTGTTTTGAACTGTGTGGTTTGCGTGTGTGTGTGTTGTACGTGTTGCGTTGGTATTTGTGATGTTAGCCAACTTCCGGTAGCAAAAGGCGAAATGTCAACACATTTTTTGTACTTCCTAGCTAGCAGACAGCAAGGCGTCAAAGTGGGAATTGGAATTGGAGCTTCCTCATATCTAACATATTATTTATGATACTGACTGTATTCAGTGAGAGGATGTTTTCTTCGCAGAATATATATTTTCATGACTTATTTTTTAATGTCACAAATGTCAAATATTATTGCTTTAAGGAATGCAATTTGCAAGATTTGGAACATCGTCATTAATTTTTGATATACCAAGTTCGCATTCGTAAAACAACTGTAGAGATTTTCAAACATGAAATTATTATATACATATGAATAGATTTCATAGCACTTAAGCTGTGGACTGAATGAATTCAAACTGAGTTTTATAAGGTGTCCGTTTTAAACACAGATAACATTGTAAAGCATGATTTTTGGATAGAGTGTGTATGATTATAAAAACTTTATGGAACCTTGCGAGCATGCCGGATAAAGAATTTCGCGTGCTCCACTCATTTCCGCCAGTTGCATGTATGTGTATGGATTATGCGTGTGTGTGTGTGTGTGTATGTAAGAATCTGCTCATTTCCGCTCCCCTGCAAAACCAGGTGAAAGCTAGCTCGTAAAGCTCACGGTGAAATATCCATTTGCAGTGCATCAGTGCCCGGGAAAAGACTTAAAGCAAGCAGCAGGCGAAGTGAATAAACCATAAACAAAACCCCCGAAATTTAACCGAAAGCAAGGCAAAAACGAAATTTAAGCGTCTGTGCATATTAATCAGAACGAGAAACGTGAACAGGATCAAGTCCTAGACAACTTATCACAGGGGATTTACGCAGACAGACAAACGCAGGACACGAATGCGAGTGTAGAGCAAAAGGCAGCGCTAATCAACGGCCAAACCAGACGACATCCTTACCGACTGGCCACGCCCACAACTCCCCTTCGAATAGGAGAAAAAAAGTAACCACCAGAAGCTTGAGAGGAGAAGAGCAGGAGCCGCCTCATTTGGCCACTGCGGATTATGTTAATTAGGTAATTTTTGCTTTGATTACTCGTACCTTTGGGGGCTGTGCAATTTTGTTTGCTTTCCTCCCGCTTCCTCCATTCAGCACGCTCCTCAATTTGACACCCATCCACCCACCCAGTGTCCAGCTTACATATTTATGAAATTTTCATGCAAATCCAGCTAATTCATTCACATTTTGCTGCTGCTGCTGCTGCTCATCTGGCAACCGTTGCTCAGTTTTTAATTCGCTGCCTTAATTGCAAGACAGTTTTTTTTCGCCCAACTGATTTGTAGTTAAAAACTCATAATTAACAGGCAGCGGCGTAAATTGAAAAAGTTTTAGGGTAACTATACCCCTCAAAAACGCAAATTGAAATTTTTTCAGGCAAATGTAACGACAACACGGGGAGTACATTAGGAATGTTAATCAACAACAAATGAAACAGTTAATTTTGATTGCGTTTGGCCGGCAAACAGAATTATCACTTGCCAAACCGATTCATAGCCAACCGATTCAAATATACTTGTGTAAATAAAAATTAGCAAAATTCTAATCTTTTTCGAATGCTGTTAATGCAATCGGAATTAATTACGAGTCCGATAATTTATTTAACAGCTGACATTTAATGGTTAAATGGTTACTGCCTGTGCCAAATAAAACAATTTTGCAACCACAACACTATCAAATATTACTCAAAACTAAGTGCAAAGCCAGCAGTTGAAATATTGTGGCCTGTATGACCAGTCAATTGAGAAATTCGATAAATTGAGGCTCGAATCCACGGAGGAGAATGCAAATTGTGTGCAAAAGTCCAAGGCTCATGGGAGGACAGAGGTCAGAGGTTTCGACCAGGACAATGCCGATCAAACTTGCGACTGGCAATGGAAACAAAAACAGAAACTGCCAGTTGCCGGCAGGCATTCGGCATTCAAAACTTTATACTCAGCCTCCTCTGCCGCTTCAGCATCGATAATTAAATTGCGAAATTGTGAGCTCTGAATCGAGGATGGAAACTATGAAAATGTGGCTAGAAATCGTGCTCAAGTTTCTGCCACAATCTACCTACCTCTTAAATCATTTCACTTGAGTTCTGGGGGCGCGTGAGGGCTTTTTGATTTTCAGTTTCAATTTAATTTGATTGATTTTTGCCTTGTTTGGACTCTGGCACATAAAATTCATACTCGTGAATTATGCATGCAAAGCTGTTCGCAAAAGTATTATGAAATTCCTGTGGGCAATTTATTTATTTACGAGTATATTGCGCACAAGCGGCCAAGAACATAGAACACAATGGCGGGTAAATTATGTATGTACTATATGTACAAGTATATACACTGCACACCATGAGTCTATATATCGCCAGCATACTCGTATAGAGTATATTTATTTTCTGGTAAATTGTCAAGCGCAAATTAAGCAAACGCTAATTTGACTTTTATCTGACACGGCAATAAAAACTTTGGGTATCCGCACCAAAGAATCTTTCGCCCCGAAAAGCCATAAAGTCCAAGTTCCAGGCAATTAATGCAGCCACAATGTCTAATTAGATGGCAGCAAAAGCGCCGCCAGTTGAGTTCAGATAGCACACGCACCCCAAGCTGGGGTTGCCTCGAGTACAGGTAGCACTCCCTAAGGGGGATGCTGTTTAAAGGGGGAGGGGCTGCCGCCCCAATTAAGTGCCCCAGGGTGTGGCGCGAGTGGCTCTTGTGCGGTTAAGATGCTAGCACCATGGCATAGTAACCTGATACCACATCAAAACACGCTCACAACTCAATTTGGTTTGACTTTCAATCAAGTCAAGGTTTGGCAGAATTATGGGAATTGTTTCCATTGGCAGCACAATTATTTATTTATTTAATTAGTAGCTGAAATAGCTTGACTTTTTGCTGCTGGCTGTAGGTAAACGTGTTTCCATTGAAATTAATTTTCCGGTTCTATATGAATATTATTAATGGCACAGCATGAATAATGCTTAGAGCTATTAGTGATATCCGAATAGGGGCTAGTGCTAATAAAATTAAAATCATTCGATTAGCGAAGGTTCATAAGGGTAATTGAAATTGAAATTTGTAATGTAAGTAAAATCAATTATAGTAAATCCTTGGGCATAATTCAACAAATAAAATCACATGATAAACAAGTAAAACCTTTCAAAATGAATTGCTGCACTTGGAAATCAGTCCAAGTTACTGTGCGTATGAGTGATGCATACTGCAAGCCTTTTCAGATGGACCAGGTTGCCGGTTAGCCAACCCACAACCAACAGACGGCGGCATTGTTTGCGACCAACTCGGGCACTCGCAATCACGTGCCCCGTCTCGCGGCAATCAAAGTCGTTAGCTGCAACCGTGGGGGGAAAGCCCAAAGGAAAGTGGGTTCGCACATCCATCCATGTGCGTCGGCGACGGCGGCGGCGAATAATCAAATATTTTCGTGACTACAAAGGACCCCGCACAGAGATAGCAAAAGACAGGCGGGTGAAACTTAAAGCCAGTGAAGTAAATCCGATTTAGGGCTGGAAAACGGCAGCAGGAGCAGCCGCAGCCGCAGAGAAGCGAGCGAGGCTCCAGACAATTTGCATATTTATGAAGAAGAACTGCCTTTGATAAAGCTGCAAGCAAGACGGCGCTCACAGGCTGCTTTAAGCTGATTCAAATTGAAAAACGCAGACGGCAGAGGCAAAAGATACAAATGTAAATGGTTGTGAGGCTTCGCCGGGTTGGGGTTAGCAACAATAATCTGCGCTGATTTACGATTTACAGGCGCGAAATAGACAAGGAAAGTATCGGTATGGGAAGTCGGCGGACAATTTGCGTGCGCAATTTGCAGTTGATGGGCGACACACGCCTCAACTCCCGCCTGCCCAAAAAAAAAAAATAACAAGAATCCATCCCCCAAATTGTTTAACATTTTTGAGAGCGCGAGGAAGCGAAAAATATTACACACTGATTTTGATCGTTTCGCTTTTTTCTTAAAATAAACGCCTGCTGGAAATGGCAAATGGATAGCTGTCTATCCACTGCAAATATTTCACGCTGAGTTTGCACAAATATGGCCCAATTTAGAGCAATCGAGAGCAAATGATGCATCAAACAATGTTCCATACAAGTTTCGCATCCGATGGATTCTATAAAAGAAGCTAGGAAAAGCGTGTCAAAATTGATTGGTGCCAGTGGTAAAATTCTATAGAAATATTTGACAACCAAATTGGTCTTCTGGGACCATTATCCCTCATTTACGAACATAAATACGTACAGTTACATTCACATAAAATAATTACCGTAACCTGAAACATTTTCCAATTAAAAAGCCAGCCACATTAGCACTGCACTGATTGCAATGTGAAAACTTGTCTGCATTTGCAAGTATTTATAATTTGTCAAATGCGCGCAAGTCTCAGAGTCCCCAGCCATTTCACCTCAATCTGTCTCTGCGAAGAACTCAAACTCATTTCGCAATCACTTCTGAAATGTAACAAATTTGGGTTTTTGTTCAAGTTATGCAGTAAAAGCTTTCAGCTTTCCCACTCGACATGTTCCTAGAACTGTGTCAACATAGTTTTTCAATAACGCTGCGGCATTTGAGTGCATACTTGTACGTATTTAGTGCAAATATGGGTAAGCAGTTGGCATATGAGGTTGATATTACCAAAAACCAACTTCCACTTTCCGCACATTGCCTTGCACTTTGGTAAGCACACTCTAATGCAGATACACATATATACATTGCCTTCTGCTGTATGACTTCAACAATGCAAATGCACCACTCAAATATACAGTGCATATATACATATATCTTGGAGAATCTAGCGACTAAAGCCAGGTGCGTAGTTTATAGTAGAAAGGGGTTCTTATGAGGGCTTAAGCACAGAATGTAAAGAAATTTGGGTTTACTTATGAATGCAAATCTGCACTGCCAATTAGTATAGAAAAGTTACCCATAGTCTACAGCACATTTCCATATTGAAGGCTTATGGTTTAACCAACATTTCCTCTGCTTTGAAGAATTATACTTCGCTATGCTTCTGTGCATGAAACACTTGGAAATCTCACCTTAATACCTAATCCTCGACATTAAAGTGTTGCGCCAGCAAAGTGATTTGTTGTGCACGATACGACAGCAGGATGCCAAGGCATCTAGACACCCCGAAGAACCCCTCTTAAGACCACTCTGAATCGCCATTATTCCCCTTCATCAGAATCGCACAATGGCAATGGGAATGAGAATGGGAACGAGAACGACGGCATTGCAAATAATCTTTGCAGTAAATACGCAACGAGAATGGAGAGGAAAAAACCCCGGCCGGGGATCATTATTTGCCCAAGTGGGAAACAAAACGTTGGCAAAAAGTCCTGCGAACCAAATGTCGCACATGACTGCGGCAACTGTGTGCGTGTGCGTTTGCGTGTGCGAATGCGAATGCGAGTGTGAGTTTGAATGTGTAATTTAAGCATTAGAGACGCGTAAAACCTTAACTCAAGGCACATGCACGCATACAGAGGCAGGAAAATTGAATAAATTATGCGTGTCATCACATGCAGAGCAGCTGGAATAGGGCGGAAAATGGGGGATCTTCCTATGGAGCATCGCAATTTGTGTGCGACGACGGCATTTAATTAAGCATTTTGTATTCATCGGAAAAGTCATAAAAATTACCAACAGTTGTTGGCATGCGAGTTTGAAATTTACAGAGGATTCAGGATTTGTGCACCTTTATGTTGCATCAATGGCTGCATTGCAGCTGGGATTTGCCAAAGAATAATTACCCATTATTCGTGCTTGTTCGTCCTTTATAAAAATTTTTTGCTGGTAACTTATCTTCCATGCCTTTGGGCCTCCCTTAAACGCAAAGTCACGTTCCTGAGCGACAAACTAGAAGGAGGAATAGTGAAAATATGCAAAGTAGTCGTGGCTTCGAGCGTATCGGGTTTCAAGGTCCCAGCTATCCATAAAAAGTGTGTGGAAATCGAGCTTTCGGATATCCTATATTGACTTTGAACCTCTTTGGGAACTTTCCTTTTAGAA